ACGGTGCAGGTAATTATCCACAACCTGGATGCAGGGCCAAACCTGGGACAAGCGGGGATAAAGCTGGCGAAGGAAACTGCCAACAACTCGACCGAGCGAGGAACACTTGGGAACAGGGCTGGTGAACAAAGACTCGTCCACATATAGGGCACACGACCGAGCCAGGAACAATCGGGAAGAGGGCTGACGAAGAAACACGATGACAACCATACTACAGCGCCGAGCCCTGAACAATCGGGAGCCAACGCTAGTGAATAAAAGTACCGACAACTAATGACGAAGACCGATCCGAGAAATATTGAAACAAGGCTGGCAAAAGATATTGCTGACAACCACAAGCCCCAGGCCAGCGAATGATAACGGTCACGACCAAGACATGGGACAAAGGCAGGAACAGAGGACGGTGCCGGAGAAGGAAACAAGTGACAGTCAAAGGAAATTCTTACCCCGTCAAAGCACACATTGCTCGGGCACCACCGCCAAACTTGCATCTTCGCAGGGACCTGCAATCCATCCTAAGTGAACTCCATCGAAGCACGATTCACAAGAAGCTCTCGTCTATCATCGCGTCAAGGGGTTTGATAATGGAACATGTATCATGCTTCTTTGTGTCTGTATTGCGTTACGTGACCATGTCGCTTCACCGCTGTAAGCCAGTTGCGCGCGTGTGGTATTTTTGTACGAGCAACATAGCCTCCAATGGCCTGGAGTCATGGACGGTCGGCGCAAGTAGACGCGATGGTTCCCACAACATGGAAAGTGCCTTAGCACCGCACGCTCGTAATATGCCGAGGAAGGCAAATAGAGGAGAAGGCGGCGGACGCAACGGGCTCTCATGGCCACGGGTGAGTTTGCCCACCAGACTCAGAAAGGCAGATTGCAGATAGCATTGTAGACGTTGAAGATATGTATATATATATATATATATATAGTCTAGCATTGGCTTCCTGGCGCTCGTCCAACCAACATCTTCTAGACTGAGCTTCGGGCTTGCATGTTTGCCAACGTGGGTCCCGAACAGTGCAGTATTGCCTCCGGGTGCGTAAGGCCTGGAATGCAATCTACGTGGTGGAATGAAGATTGGGAAATCTGGAAATTGTAAAGTCCACTGTTCGTCAAACATCTCACCCTCCTGCCCGCAACCTGTCGACAAAACTCAGATGGCCTCTCACCGAACGCACGGGTGCGTGGAACTCAACCGCGCAGACAAGTCCTTCCCCGAGGTCGAGAAATAGTGGCAGGCAATGGTGACGACTGTGACGCCGATGATGATGGCGATGACAGTGGTGGTGACACTGATGCCGATAGCGATCATAGTGAAGATGGAGACGCTCCGATGTCGACGACGACGATGGTGCTAGTGATGGGGCGGAGGGTAATGATAATAATCGTGGCGACCATGATGCTGGTGATGATGATGATGATGATGATGATGATGATGATGATGATGATGATGATGACGACGTTGCTGGTGATGATGAGGACGTGCCCACGCACGGAACTTTGACGAGGTCCATGACGTCGACGGTGACGGCTATGACGTCGGCGGTGGCGATCCCGACGATTGCGATGAGTTTAATGACGACGATGGCAATGATGACGCTGACGGTGTTGAGAACGATTATGCTGAGCATGGCGAGAAAGTGTGCACTCGCAGGAATCCAGATATGTTTATGCGTTTGTTAAACAACCACCAGTGCTTCCTACAGTGTTTTGCTGACCCTCCTGCGTGTTGGGTCCTCGTTTTGGATCTGCAACGCCACGCCCCACCACCTCCTTCTCCTCTTCCTCCCCTCCTTGTCTGACGGCTATGGCCCCAATGACTGCGGTTGCATGGCGGCCTCGAGATCATTTCGACAGACCTATAACACATTCCGTGGCCCCATTGGGCGCTCCACCGAACGCTCCAATCGCTGAATTCGCATGCCGTCTCGGCTCCATGTCGGCACACCCCTTACACGTTTCGTGGCCTCAGAGGAGCCTCCAACGAAAGCTCCAATGGCGTCGTTGGCATGCCGTCTCGGGTCCATGCTGGTACACCTTTCACACGTTTCGTGGCCACACATGGGGCTCCAACGAATGCCCCAACCGCTGCGATGCCGTCTGGACCCCATGTCAGCACACCCGTCACATCTGTCGTCGCCCCATCGGACGCTTCACCGAAAACTCAATGGTTACGTTCGAATGCCGTCTCGGCTCCATGTCGGCACATCCCTCACGCGCTTCGCGGCCTCGCAAAGTGCTCCACCGAAAGCTCCAGCGGCTGCGTTCTCATGATGAGTTGTGTCACGCCAAGACGCCCCTCATACGTGCCGTGGTCGCAAAAGGAGCTCCACATAACACCCCACTGCATGCGTTCGCATGCCGTCTCGGGTCAATGTCGGCACACCGCTCACACGGTTCGTGGCCCCATTGGGTGTTCCACTGAAGGCCCCAGTGAACGCGTTCGCATGGTGTCCCAGGTCGTTTCGGGACGCCCCTCGCCCGCTTCGTAGCCTCAGGAGGAGCTCCAACGAAAGCCCCAGTGGCTGCGATCTCATACCGTCCCATGTCCAAGTCGGCAAAACACCTCACAAGGGGCTCACCACAATATCCAATGACTGCGTTCGCATGCCGTCTCGGGTTAGGTTTCCCTCCTTGCTCCGCCGTGCACGGAACCCTCTTCCCTACAACCTCCTCCCTCCGTCCTCCTCTATCCTTGTTCCTTCTCCCTCTCTGACCCCCCATCACCTTCCACCTTTCCATCCTTCTCCCTTCAAGCCTTCCTCCCAATGTTGATTTGTCTGTCCTCTTCTTTCTCCTTCTCCTCCTTCCACCCGCGATGTACACCCTCGTGTTCATCATCCGCCTCCGCCTCCACTCCTACCTCCTTTCTCCTCCTTCCCCCCCCGCCCCCCTCCAGTCCTTTTCCTATGAATAACTCCTCCCTGTCGCGCTCCGATGCTGGTCGGAAGGGCGGGCTGGGCTTTTCGCCTGAGGTTTCCTCACAGTTTCTGGCCCTGAAGCTTGAACGATGCAACATCTTCACGGATGGAGGGCGGGTGGTTTTCAAAATGTGGGTCTCGCCCTAGCGCCGCGCACAGTCGCATTAAACACATGGAAGAGCTTCACGGATCGAGGGCGGGCCGATTTCAAAATGTGGTTCTCGCTGTAGCGCCGTGCACATTCGTCTTAACAAAAAAAAGCAAGAGCTTCAGGGATTGAGGGCGGGCCATTTTCAAGATGTGGCTCTCGCCCCAGCGCTGACTACCTACCAGACCACCCCAACCCAACCCGAAGACCCCAATTTCGGGTTGGGGGGGGGGGTACGGGTTCCATACGTGTTTTTTCGATGTTCCCCGACCCCCCCCCAACTGGAAATGGAGGGCAAATCGAGACCTTCGGGTTGGGTTGGGGTGGTTTGGTGGGTGGCGAAGCGCCACGCGCGTGTGCTCTAAAAGCTTGCAACAGCTGCACGGATCGAGGGCGGGTGGCTCCCAAAAGATGTGGGTCCCGCCGCAGCGCAGCGCACACTCGGGGAAAGGACATGCCAGGGGGCTCCACGGGCGGAGGGCAGGAGGAGGAGGAGGAGGAGGAGGAGGAGGAGGAGGGGGAGGAGGAGGAGGAGGAGGAGGAGGAGGAGGAGGAGGAGGTGGTTTTTGGACATGTGGCTCTCGCTGCCCCGAGCGCCGCGCACATTCATCTTGAAGACATTGCAGTCATTCCAAGAGTTTTCATTGCTAACGTACCAGAAGCGGTGGTTTGGAGTGAGTGAGGATTGTCCGGGCAAACAAGTTGCGTTGACTCGCGGTGTTGGAGTTCCAGGAACGGCGTTCCGGCACGATTCAGGATTGCCAGCACGCAGCAATGAGGTTGATTTGTGGCGTTGGAAAGGTTGAAACACCTGTGCCTGGCACGCTTCAGGATTTTCAAACGGTTGTCCCCCAACAGGGCACTTCCGTCAGCGGAAATGAAAGACTAATCCTTGTGGGGGCCTATGAAAAGGAAGCTTGGAGGGAGCGTTGGTTCAGACAGTGTTAACGATTCTTGGTTGCACTGGTCCTACGTCCCTCCTCCTCCTCCTCCTCCTCCTACGTCCTTCCCCTTCCTCCCCCTACGTCCTTTCTCCCTTCGATCCTCTTCTCACTCCTCGTCCTCCACACCCCTCCATATCCTCATCCTCCGCCACGTCCTTCGCCTCCTCCTGTTGCTCCCGCTCCTCCCCAAACCCCCGACATCGTGATTTCTTCATGATGTGGACACCCCGGAGGTCTCGACCACTTCCCGAGGCCAACTTTCCGTCTTGAATAATGTCTAATGGTCCCGGGGCTTGGTAAAGGTCCCTGGAGGCCAAAAAATTGAGAAAAGCCTCCCGCCGTGTCTTTCGCGACTCTCCCCCCCAATTTTCCTTACCCACCCGAAATGGGCACTGGAAAAATGAATACGATGCCCAACAGCAGATGTTGTCCAAAACCGACAGCGGTCGCTGTTGGACAGGTGGCTTCCCACTTTAAATGGACACCGTCCGCGGCGCTACCGACAGCGAGTCCGGTCCAACATGAGCAGGAAGCGGTGCTGGTCTTCGTGCCCATTCTCTCTGTACCCGTTGCGATCGTACCGATCCTCCTCCGCCCGCAGCGTGTACAGCAGAGAGGGAGCAGCGGCACATCGACTGCCGCCCGCCCCACCCCCCGGTGCGCCCACCACGACGCTGCGGCAGGAGCCCGCCGTCGCGCCGCTCCCTGGCCGCGCCCGCTGGGAGGAGCCCGAGCGGCAGGGCGGTCCAATAGAGGCATCCTAGATGGGGTCCGAGGAGCTGTGGTCGGAGGATGCACCGGCGACGGCGGCGGTGCGGTGACGTCGGGATGGGGAAAGTCGTGCTCCACAATGAGCCGCATCGCCGCTGCATCGCCGATGCGGCGCGATCCTCCGACCCCATTTACTCTGACCCCATGTGGGAGACCTGGGGGGAGGGGACCCGGACCAGGACCCAGGACGACCGAGACGACCAAGGCGCCGACGACGACGATGACGACGACAATGGCGCCAACGACGACGACGATGAGGGCTGCGGGCCCTACCGGGCGGATCGGACGGGGGCGAGTCGGGCGGGCGGGCCCTAACGGCAAGGGCGGGTCTGGTCGGGCGGGCCAGCCTCACCGCGAAGGAGAAGGAGGCAGGAGAAAGAGAAGGCAATGAGACTTCTCTGATTCTTCCCTTGCCATCAGGTGGCGAATACGAGCGTGCACCGGCCCATGTGGAGAAGCATCGCGCCAACGGCACCTTCCAAAATACCACCGCACCCTGATTGGTCCGCACTGGCCCGAGAGTGCAGAAGCGCACACTGTGCAATCACACACAAGCTGTACGAGGAGTTCGAGAGGAGGGGATGAGAAGGAAAAGGGGGAAGCGGAGGGGAAAACAGAAACCCGAGGGGCCCACCATCGAAATCCTAGGATCCAGTGCGAGAGTTCAGGGGAACGAAGTCCGATAGCTGGACAGGCATTTAAAAGCAGCGGTACCGATCGCGAGTGCGCACTGCGTTTTTGCCAGAGAGCAGGAGCTTGGCGATTGTCCGTGCGAGGCCCGAGGAGAACCATGTGCTGATCAGCAGGATGATGGTGTACGATGCGCGCTGCGCTGGGGCAATGTCGAAAGCGGTCGGGTCAGACCAGGTCGGGGGAGCGCTGACGACTGCCAGGCTGGTGATGAGCTCCTGTCAGGCCAATTTCCCTGCGGAAGACGAGCGGGGCACGCGACTTGCCGCTGGGGTGCCAGGAGGTGCCTGCCGCGCACTGATGAAGGCTTTTGCGCGGAAGCGCGGCCCCATCCAAAAGTGCGAGGGGCACCCCAGCCTCTCGACTGCTCTCACCTCGGACTTGTGCGGCGCGCACAGAGGCGAATGGGAGAAGACGGTGCAAGGAGGGGGGACTGGGAAAGGGAAAGGATGCGGAATCTTCGACGCATCGGAACATCGGTCCTACAGCTGTCGCCCGTGAGGGCGTCGCAGGTCGGCGTCGCAGCAGCGGGCAGGTGTGAGACTGGAGAGCACATTGGCACATACCTCTGCGCGCGGGCATGGCGCCTCGACGTCGGCGCCGTTCGCAGGGGCGAGACCCCTCTGGGACCCCAAATCTGACACCCCCATCATCGTGGTGATTGAACGGGATTTCGGTCAGCGCCCACACGCTTACTGAACATGTCCGCGTATGGCTGCAAAGAGCGGGCAGGATCTGGACACTGCGTGGGCAGCTTGCCCAGGCCGCTGGTGCAAGGCGGGCGCCTGCTGCCGCATCTGCTCTGCTGAAGTCTTCTCCTTTTTCCCCCTCCCACCCTCCTCTCCTCCTCTCCTCCCGCCCTGCCTCCTCTTCAGTGCTCTCCTCCTGCGCGCCTCCCCTCCCTGCTCCTCTCCTCCCGTCTGCTGTACCCTTCCTCTTTCCTTGGCGCTGATTCAACCGAGTGCGCTTCCAGTGCGCTTCGTCATTGCGCGTGCTGAATAGAAGTTCGAGGTTTGCTTCCCCTCCCCTACCCCCCTCGGGCTGGCTTCTCCTCCCTGCCTCGTTCTCTGCTTGATTCGTGTATTGTGACAAAAATTGGATTGAACTTCGTCTTGCCGAGACAGGGTAAGCAGGGCAGAGAAAGGGAGGGAGGGGGGAACACGTGGCACTCAGAACGGGGTTCACAGGCGCGGCCTCGAAAATCTGCAATGGCCCTGGAGTCGGACTCGCGCTGGGCAAACATGTCCTCAGAAGCACTGCGCAAACAGGTCGCCATGAGGAGTGGACAAGAATATGTGGTGCAAGCTATCGCGTCTCCGTTGAGCCCCTTGCGAAGAGGGGGCGCCAGGCAGAAATTCCCCGCAAGCTTCCCAGAAGCATGCGATATCGAATGGGCGGCCGGCACACCCTAACAGCAGCAACCAGCAATCAACTTGAGGGTAGCATCCGCGCGGCGGCGGGCGCTGAAAACCAGACGCAGCACGACTGTGAAGCACAAGAGCGAAGCGTCCCGCGATCGCGAAGCAGAAGAAGGAAACGCCCCACGACTACGAAGTAGAATAACGAATCAAGTAGAAAACGAGGCAGGAAGGAAAAGCCAGCCCGAGGGTGGTAGGGGAGGGGAAGCAAACCTCGAACCTCTATTCAGCACGCGCAATGACGAAGCGCACTGGAAGCGCACTCGGTTGAATCAGCGCCAAGCTTCCCCCCCCGCCTCCCGCTCCGCCCCTCCTCTGCTCGTCCCTCCCCTCTGCTGTTCTCCTCCTCCTTCTCCTCTCCCCCCTCCCTGCACCTTCGCCTCCCCTGCTCCCGTCCCCGCGGCGGCGCCAGGATTGAGCCGCAGCCGCTGGAGCAGCGCTACCTGGGGGTGGGGGTTCCCGCGCCTTGCACTGCCTGGCTGCTGGCGCACTGGAAACGGCTGCGTGGCCGAGCACCGCTTCCGCGCGGCCGCCCCGCCCAGAAGACGCGCGCCGACCCCTGATTTTGTCGTCAGTGTTTTTGTTTGATTGTTCACTCTCTCTCTGTCTCTCTCTCTCTCTCTCTCTCTTTAATGTATGGTTTTTCTCCCTCTCTTTCTCTCTCTCTCTCTCTCTGTTCTCTCTCTCTCTCTCTCTCTGCGGTACGCACTGCCTCATCGAGGCCCCCGTTTGGAGGGGCCCCGTCTGTCCTTGCAAGGGCAAGGCTTCATCAGCTCAGCGGTGGATTTTGAAAGATGTGCTCACTGGTCGCGATCCCCGCTGATAGGGCTGCAGCGGCTTGCTTCGGGCTTTTGCCGAGGCAGGCTGGCGCGTGCTTGTTTATGGGGCTCGGCCTCTGAAGGTGGAGCGGCTCCGCTTAGCGGTCCCGCTCCCTTCTCCGAGGCTCCTGCCTCCCTGTCTTTTCAGCCAACTGTCGACTCGGACATTGCTTCTGAGCTGATCCCTCTCCCCCCCCTCTCTCTCTCTCTTCCACGCCCCCCTGCGCAGCCTTGCCCCTCCCCCCCTCTTCGGAAAAGGGGCGGCACACCCGGGAGGGGCTCTGCCCCGAGAGGCCGCGCCCACCCGCGCAGCCCCCGCGGCGGATCGGGGAGAGGCCCCGGCCGCCCGAAAAGCGCGGGCAGCGGGCGCGGGCACACGGCGGCCGACTCTCGGCGGAGAGGGGCGGGCCGCCCGATGCGGGGGGACCGGAGCGGCCCTCGCCGCTCGTGAGGCGGAGCCAGGACCCCAACAAAATCAGACCAGGATAAGTCGGGCATCTCTATAGACAAGCGCGTTCCCCTACTCGCAGACTTGCTACTCGCCAGTGGCCTGGATCCGCGGCGGGAGCTTTACGATACACTACATAGGGGAGGGCATGCTCTTTCTCTGTCGTTTGCGAGTAGGCACTTTGGGAGTAGTTCAACGCGCTCGGTGAATCTCTGAAATCCGGCGGTTCAGAGTGCATCAGGTGCCGCGGCCGGGTGAGGCTGCCTTTCTTTCGATTCTGGCAGGTTTGCTTGCATGGAGGGACGGAGGGGGGGCGTGGCAAGGCCCGACACGAAACCGGACATTCACGCAAGTCGGGACACGCTTGCACGCCTTTTCGGCACAGCGCTGCTTGAAACGGCGGCGGAGGGGGGGGGGAATGCCTTGCAAGTAAACATGCCTGATCCTAAGGACACAGCCTCTGTCAGAGCTCTCGGGACGCTCTGGGAACGTTCTGGAACGCTCTGGAATGGCTTATCCTGGTCCTGGCCCCGCCCGATCTGCTGAGCCTCGCAACCGATCAGTATCGAAACAATGCCAAATTGCTCGCCGGAATGGGAGATGTACATGCCGGCGGGGGCGCTGCGGGCGGACGCAGGGGCGCCAAGGTGTGAGATAAGCGCGGCACTGCGGAAAGAGACATCGAATTGTCTGCTCGCAAGCTTGACTTCCAGCGTTTCTCGGACATCTGTGTTCTGGCATCATCAACCCAATTGCACTCCATGCAGCTTGGCTCAGACAAGACTTAAGTCGGGCGCGTTTTTTTTTACAGAAGGCAGAATCAAAAGTAATGAAACACAGTATGGGGACGATTTTTCAACCATGTTTGACTATGTTTGAGCATTATTTATGTTTTTTCTTTTTAAAAAATCTTTCGTCCAGAATCCGCCCGTAGGGGGACATGCCCGACCTAAGACAAGACCGATCATTGTGAATCAGGCTTCCCGCTGGAGCCTTGATGCTTCGCAGGAGCAATCGGCATGTGTGGCAGCGCACCGCTCCATCAATTCCAGGGGGGTTGTATGCTTAGAGTTAGGTCGGGCCTGTTCCTCTTCAGGAGGGATATTCAAAAATAGTCAGACAGTAGTGTGTGGACGAGTTCTGGACTATGTTTGAACAGTTTTGGGATATCTTTGGGATATGTTTTATTATTCTTTCAAAATCCGCCTGTAGGGGGACACGCCTGACCTATCCCTTCTTTGGCCTGCCAACCTACAGAGGAAGCCAGTCCACAAGAAACCTTTCACAAGACATCCATTCCTGAGACCCCAGGACGTCCACTGATTTTTGGTGCGGGAACGTCACGCTATCCATAGCAGAACCATCGAAACCCGAGAAACCCAGGGCACCCTGGAGGGAAACAGGGTGTCTCATGGCATGGGTCTACGTCGCTCGCCCTCGACGCCGACATGTATGGCGCGCAGGCCGCGCTGTCTCACAAGAGGCCGCCAGAGGGCACGCCAGAGTCTGGGGGCCCTCCCGGCACACTCGCGCCTAGTTCGCATTCTGTCGCCTGCCTGGCTTGCAGCGAGTTGACCCTGCTGGAGGGCATCACATTGATCTGGCTCGGCTGGCTACTCATTTTTCAATGGGCCCAAGGACACACAAATAGATACACACAAATCCCAGGATTCCAAATATGTTCCCTATTTTCTGGATTTTCGTCTTCCCCCACACTTCCCATAGTTTCCCATGTTTTCCTGGGAGTCGACGATTAATGGTGTCTGTGTGTTTTTCCCCTCCTGAATTTTTCCTGTCGCCTGTCGCAATTTTCTGCCGCAGATCTGGACCCGTCAGGGACACCCCCCGACGGGTGCATCCTGGACGTGGGGCCTTGCGCTGCACATCGAACGAAGCAGACTCACTCCCAAGAGGACTCGGTTCCGTAGATTTTGGCGGCGCGCACAAGGGGGTGGGGGGAGGCGGGAGGGCTTCTTAGAAGGAGGGTGTTTCTTAGAAGGCGCCCGCCTTACATCTATAGATGAGGCCCGCGCCTTCTAAGAAGCAGGGGTGCTTCTAAGAAGCCCTCCCCCCTCCCCCCACCCCCCTCTGCGCGTGGCCGAAGATTGCTTTGCTCGCGCCTGCTTTCACGCTGGAAAAAGCCTGGCTCGGTACCAGAGGCACTCTCCGAGGTGGAGCGAGCATGCATGACCCCGGAGCTCCACGGCGCCCCGTGACGGCGAAGTGGAGGCGGCCTCTCCAGAAGCACGCGCTCCAGGGAGCCTGCATGCCGCCTCCCCCCTCGCCCTTCGTTTCCGCTCCCCCAATGGGGCCTGCATGCCCCGCGTGCGCCGGCTGCCGCGCTCCAGGAACACGTGCCGGTGCAAGGCCTCCTCCAAGAGGTCCCGCCGCCAGAACACCTGGGCGGCGCTCTGCCTCTGTATCGCCGTAAGCACATGTGCCACTGCTGGCTCCACGACCGCTGCAAACTCAGACATCTGACGACGTGTTTTTCCTAACATCCTGCGTGGGGTTCTTGTTTCCGCCATCCTGGGCGTGTTGTTCCCGATTCCCGCCTATCACCCCACCTCCTCCTCCTCCTCCTTCTCCTCCTTTTCATCCTCCTCCTCCTCCTCCTCCTCCTCGTCCTCCCCCTCCTCCTCCTCCTCCACACGATCACGCACTCATGCACTCATGCACTCATGCACTCATGCACTCATGCACTCATCATCATCATCAGCATCAGCATCATCATCGTCATCATCATCATCATCGTCATCATCATCATCATCATCATCGTCATCATCATCATTATCATCATCATCATCCGCATCATCATCATAGCAGCATCATCAGCACTTTCACCATCATCATCAAGATCGCCACCATCATGATCACTAAATCATCATCACACATTTACTCACCCGCCCACCTTCCCTCCCATCATCATCTAGCATGACTCACCCACTCACTCACTCGCTCACTCACGATCACTCATCACCATCATCACCATCACAATCATGATTACCACGACGATCCAAATCGCACCATGGCACAAATTCTTTCGTCATTATCATTGAATCGCTTCGCTCATTCCGCCGGCCCGTGATATGGCATCGCTGGTTTTTGTCTGTGTGTTCGTTGCCCATGTTGCGCTCTTGGGGGCGGGTGTCGTTCGGACGCGTTGCGTGGGGAGTTTTGATGGTGAAGCAGTTCCCTGGGGGTCGTCTCTCGATGGGGCGAAATAGAGTCGTCGTCAAGATGCTTCTTTGGGGGGCCTCTTGGGGTCTGTTGAGAGGCCGTTCGGGGGCGCCTGGGAGACATGTTTGAAGCCTTCTGGGGCTTCTTTTGGGCCTCCTGGGAGTCTCCTGGGGCCTCTTGGCGACATCTTGGGGCCTCTTGGAGGCCTCTTGGGGCCTCTTTGGGACCTCCTGGGCGCCTTCTGGGACGGAGGGCTCCATTTTTGAGTTCTCGGTATCCCTCCTGAGTCCCTCTTGGGCCCGTCTTGGGGCCTCTTGGTCCGTCTTGGGCGGCACTTGGGCCGTCTTGAGGGCTCTCTTGGGTCGTTTCGGCGCCGTCTTGGGAGCTTCGTGGGCCGTCTTGGAGCGGTCTTGGGGGCCTCTTGGGCCGTCTTGGAGCGTCCGGAAGCCGAAAAAGCCAGAACACAAAAAACATCGAAAAAACCAATGAAAATCAACGATTTTGGCCTCTTGGGGCTCTCTTCGGAGGCCTCTTGGAAGGCTCTTGGGGCGTCTTGGAGGCCTCTTGGGCTGTCTTGGGGGCCTTTTGGGCCGTCTTGGGGTCATCTTCGGCGTCTTCGAGCGCTCTTTGGGCGTCTCGGGGGCCTCTTGGGCAGTCTTGGGGGCCTCTTGGGGCACTCTGAGCGCGCTCTGGGGAGCCTGAGAGGCCGCACCCAGAAGGAAAACCATCTCTGAGTAGACTTGGTCGGGCGGCGGTCGGGCGGCGGTCGGGCGTTGGTCGGGGTACTTTTCGCCGGGGGACCCCCAGGGGCCGCCCCGCGCGCGCGAACTAGAAATACTGTTAATACTGTTAACCAGTTACCGGAGATCTTAGCACGCCCTGGCCCGTTGGGCCGGCGAATTACTTGCTCTCACACTGTCATCACCGCATACACACATACGCTGATCGTCGGGATTCTCGAACGGGGGTTCTGGTCTGTGCGTGGATCGCGAGGAAGTCTCAGGCGGGACCCCCCTCTCTGAGGGGCCCGCGGCCCATGTTACGAATCCGAGCATGTATTTGGAATCGTGTAGCTGTCCGAACGTTTGACCTCCTCAGGCTTGAATATGACGGAAGTCTCGAGCGGAAACCTCGTCTGTGTGTGTGAACTGTGAGGAAGCCTCAAGCAGGACCCCCTCCCCATGGGGCCCGCAGCTCATGTTAGTAATCCGAACGGGCCATCGGAATCGTGTAGGTATCATTACTGCTGGGGCTCTTCAATCCTGAACGTGGCAGGAGTCTCGAACGACACTCGTTTGCACGTGAATTGTGAAGAAACCTCAGGCGGGACACCCCCCCCTGTGGGGTCCGCAGATATCGTTACTAATCCAAGCGGGCCATCGGAATCCTGTAGCTGTTCGCTGTCCCTCCTCACTTTTGAATTCGGTCGGACATGTCCTCCGACGGGCGAATTTTTTGACAAAAACTTAGATATGATCACAACATAAAATCAAGAATTCGCCGGCCCAACGGGCCAGGGCGTGCTAAGATCTCCGGTAACTGGTTAACAGTATTAACAGTATTTCTAGTTCGCGCGCGCGGGGCGGCCCCTGGGGGTCCCCCGGCGAAAAGTACCCCGACCAACGCCCGACCGCCGCCCGACCGCCGCCCGACCGCCGCCCGACCAAGTCTACTCAGAGATGGTTTTCCTTCTGGGTGCGGCCTCTCAGGCTCCCCAGAGCGCGCTCAGAGTGCCCCAAGAGGCCCCCAAGACTGCCCAAGAGGCCCCCGAGACGCCCAAAGAGCGCTCGAAGACGCCGAAGATGACCCCAAGACGGCCCAAAAGGCCCCCAAGACAGCCCAAGAGGCCTCCAAGACGCCCCAAGAGCCTTCCAAGAGGCCTCCGAAGAGAGCCCCAAGAGGCCAAAATCGTTGATTTTCATTGGTTTTTTCGATGTTTTTTGTGTTCTGGCTTTTTCGGCTTCCGGACGCTCCAAGACGGCCCAAGAGGCCCCCAAGACCGCTCCAAGACGGCCCACGAAGCTCCCAAGACGGCGCCGAAACGACCCAAGAGAGCCCTCAAGACGGCCCAAGTGCCGCCCAAGACGGACCAAGAGGCCCCAAGACGGGCCCAAGAGGGACTCAGGAGGGATACCGAGAACTCAAAAATGGAGCCCTCCGTCCCAGAAGGCGCCCAGGAGGTCCCAAAGAGGCCCCAAGAGGCCTCCAAGAGGCCCCAAGATGTCGCCAAGAGGCCCCAGGAGACTCCCAGGAGGCCCAAAAGAAGCCCCAGAAGGCTTCAAACATGTCTCCCAGGCGCCCCCGAACGGCCTCTCAACAGACCCCAAGAGGCCCCCCAAAGAAGCATCTTGACGACGACTCTATTTCGCCCCATCGAGAGACGACCCCCAGGGAACTGCTTCACCATCAAAACTCCCCACGCAACGCGTCCGAACGACACCCGCCCCCAAGAGCGCAACATGGGCAACGAACACACAGACAAAAACCAGCGATGCCATATCACGGGCCGGCGGAATGAGCGAAGCGATTCAATAAACGAAGCATCATCCCCATATGTTGTTTCTTGACTTTTTTGAAACTTCCTCCTGGGGAGGACCGACCCGACTTAAGTTTTGAATATGGCGGAAGTCTCGAGCAAAAGCCTCGTCTGTGAACGAACTGCGAAGAAACTTCAGGCGGGAGCCCCCTCCTCACGGGGGCCGCAGCTTATGTTAGTAATCCGAGCGGGCTATCCGAATTTTGTAGATGTCCAAATTTTTAGGCCAATCAGTCCTGAATACGGCCGGAATCTCGAGCGGAGGGTTCGTGTGTAACTGAATGGCGAAGAAGTCTCAGGCGTGAGCACCTTCCCTCTGGGGTCCGCAAGTCTTGTCTCTAATTCGAACGGGTCGTTGGAAACCTGTAAGTGTCGTCGCTGCTGGTCTTTTCAAGCTTGAATGCGGCGGAAGGCTCGAGCGGGAGCCTCGCCTGTGAGTGGATGGCGACGATTTGCATGCGGAGCATGTCGGTCATGCGGCCGCCCACGCGGGAGTTCCCGGAAAGCGGGCCACCGGCGTCCCTGCGGACGGCGCTCAAGGAGTTCGACCAGAAGGCGGAGAACTCCAAGGCAGAGTCGAAACATGTCGCGGCGAAGCTGGGTTTCGCGCTGCCTCCCGGCTGGGCGCGGCCGCGACTACCTCGAGACCTGCGGGGTTGTCTCAACGGCTTGCTCCCGCGTCCCAACGGCCTGGCCCACGGGGTTGCCCAACGGCTTCGCGATCTGGCCATCAGAAACGCGCCCGTGCCGGCCGTGGCGGCAACGGCGGCAAGGGACATTTGCGTGCCGTTGCGAAGGAAGCTAAGTAATAGGTGGGCGGGGAAGAATAAACAAGGGGACGAAGAGGAGGAAGCAGAGCATGGGGGCTGGAAAAAGGCCCTCCGACAGGGTGAGATTAAAAAGGGCAATGGGGAGATAGGAAGAGCGTCTTTGAGGACACACGGGCGACGATCATTCCCACATCCGAATTACTTTGGGGGGCTCTCATGCGCGATCCTACCGTCGGAAAAAAAACAATATTTGGCACCCCCGCGCGGGAATAGGAACAGACCCAACTCGTTATCGTCATCAGCATCACACCATCACCACATTAATCCCATCATGACCATCATCGTCATCATCACACCATGCAGCAGCCTTTTTGGCTCAAGGCCAAAATGGTGATTCAGTCACTGCCTCAGCGGGGTAGGCTCCCATCGATCCTAAAGCAGCTTCTCATTTGCGGGTGGGCCGCGTCCACTCACTTCGCACTCAGTGCCGGGGAACGCCATGGCGGCTGCGGGAGCGCCACAGGGCAGCATGGAGGCGAATTGGCAGTGCAAGAGCTGTCACACCTTCAACTGGCCCTGCAAGAACGCGTGCCGCACCTGTGCAGCAATTCGTTGGCCGGCTCCCGCTGTTGTAACAGCGAAGCCGGGAACGGCAGCCGGTCCAGCAGCGTTGGCTACGTCAACGTTGAAATCGACAGCGCCGTCGCGTCCGCCCATGAGCGCCGCCAAGGGCAAGGGCGGCTCCAAGAAGATCAAACACAAGTCCATGGACCGGAACTCAATCCAGGACATGCCCCTCACGGAGAAGGCGAGGCTCAGTCGCCTCCAGCAGCTACGGACATCGCTGCAGCAGGCTGGGGCATCCGATGCAGCCCTCGGCTTCATCGATGCGGACATCACTGCGATCCGCCGCGAGACGATGGTCGACACCCGGACGCTCGACGAGCAGCTCGCAGGCATCACAGGGGCAATCACTCGAACGGAACGCCGTGCACAAGCAACCCGGGACGCCATGGCGCAAGCCCAGGCCGAGCTCCAGAAGGAGGAGGAACAGCTGGCGCGCCACCGCCAGTCTTTGGCCGATGTCCAGGCGAAGATCCGCCGCGAGGCGGGCCGTTCGTCGTCTTTTCCGCCAGTGGCGGGCGCCGCCACGCCTTGGGTCGCCAGTGCCCTGCAGGACACGGCCAACTGGCTCCGGGGGAACACGGACAAGCAGGCGCAGCCCGGGGAGGTCGCCACGTGGCTCGAGAACCTCACCCAGACTCTATCGCCATCACCGCCATCCCCAACCTCACAGACACAGACGCCGACCGTTGCCTACAGCGCCCAGATCCCGAACCACTGGTGCGAGCGCCGCCGGGGCCCAGACGGATGGCTCTACTCCCGGGAGCAGTTCCACAGCTGGTTCGGGGCGGAGGCGGGGGAGGAGATCTGGGATGCGGCCCTCGACGCGAGGATGACAGACCAGACCGAGAGGACAGCAGAGGAGATCTCCGTGGGGGAGGACTCCGAAGAAATGGAGACGGACCTCAAGGAGGAGCACGTGCAGCGGAACCAGGACGTCCTGGCGGAGGTGAGCGACTCGTTCACGCCCGTCACCGGCCGCAGGCCCCTGCGGACCAAGCAGGGCGCCCCCGAGATCTCACCGCACGCGCCCCCCCGCGCCACAGCTGGGGGAGCCCGGGTCGACAGCGCCTCTGGCAGGAGCTGCCAACGGGGGGGCGTAGCCGACCAGACACTTCCGCACGAGAGACCTCCTCAACCCGCTGGGGGGGGGAGCACCCCGCACCTGCCCAGCAGGCTCTTCGCAGACTTCACGGGAAGCAGTCCGCTGACTTTGGGCAAAGATGGCTTTGCCTTGCTTCGGCCAACGTCACCACGCTCAGCCCCGCTGAGTACAGGAAAAATGCGAAGGCCGGCGTCGACTCCACCATCCGCATCGACTACCTGGATGACCTCTTTCACCGCCACAGGCTCGACATCATCTTGGTCCAAGAAGGGCGCCTCCCCCACGATGGCACATCGACGGGCACTCACTACCTCCGCCACGTGGCGGCAGGCGACAAAGATGGGAACTACGGATCACAGACTTGGTTCCGCCATGCCGTTTTGAAGGATGCCACCTCGGCCCACGCCCCCGCCAACGTGGCCCCAGAGCAAGACCATGATTACCACCAGGCTCATGCTACGCTTCGGCAGCGCGCCGGGGCTAGAAAAGCGACCGCCCAGAATGAAGTTCGACCCCTTCCGGTTGGAGGACCCTGGTTGCGTGGCCGCCTCCCGGGGGGCCGTCTCTTGCCTGGCCGACGTGGTCCAGGCATCTTGGTGGAGCTCCACCGACGAGTACCTCGAATTCATGTCGAAGGAGTTTTATAAGCTGCAACAGTTCAACTTCGCTGCACCGGCACCCAAGCTACCGCGCAAGCCGCGGCTCTCGCAGGGCACCTGGGCCATGGTCAAGACGACGCCCAACGTTCGCACGGCCTACCTTCAGGCCACCAGAGCCGCGAAGACAGCCACCCTGCAGTTCTTCTTCCAGGCCTGGTCCAAGCCTGCAGGCAGAGCCACATCCGACCTCCGAGGCGTGGAATGGCACAGGGCGCATTGCCAATGGGGACCTGTAGCCACACATGCAAAAACCCACTCTTGCACCGTGAAGGACAAGGTCAAGGCAGACCGCGGGGCCTGGACTTCGGCTCTGGCCCAGGAAGCCGCAGCCGCTGCCGACCGCGGCGACGCGTCCACGCTGTACCGCATCGCCAAGCAGCTGAGACAGGGCCAGAGGCCCAAAGGCCATTCATCCTTGATCACTGAGAACGGCACGCTGCTCTTCGACCCAAAGGACATCGCCGCCGACTGGCTTGCGTACTGGGCTGGCTTGTACAAAGGGCAGGTCACGACCGTGGGTCAACTCAAGTCCGCACCGCAGTGCAATGCCGGTTACCTGGTCGGCGAGGCGCCTGCTCCACCTTTCGATTGGCATAGATTCCCTGACACTTCGCCAGACCATGTCGCCGACATCATCGCCCACCTGCCCGGCCGACGTGCCGTCGGGCCGGGCGCCCTCCGCCACGACGTGGTCAAAGCAGCGGGCGAGGGCTGCCCTCGGATGCTTTCTCCACTCTTCGAGGCATGCCTGCTGCAGCAGAGGGCCCCAGTACACTTGAAGGGTGGAACGAGCTTCGATATCCACAAGAAAGGCCCGACCAACATCAAGGACAATTATCGCGGAGTGGTCGCCGAGGCAGACTTCGCGAAAACCTACGCCGACCTCATCTCCATGCCGCTTCTGCCATCCTACCGGGACGTGCTTGTGCCCGAGTCGCAGGCAGGGTGCATGAAAGGACGTGGTACGGCGTCCGCAGGAGCCGCCACCGCTGGTTGGATCTCTCGGCATAACGCCAGTCGGCGCTGCTGGGCCATCCTTTTCCTGGACCTCAGCAAGGCCTTCGACACGGTCTTCAGGGTGTTGGCCCTGGGTCCGAGGGACGTTTCGCTCACGAAGGTCATCCCCGCCTTGATGCAACGAGGCGTGCCGCCTGATGTGGCCAACGCCGTCCACAAGTACCTCAAAGTCCACGGCCCCAGAGTGCTCGATGGCGGAATCGAGCCGGCGGCGGCCCAGCTGATCGCAGATTGGCACACTGCTACATGGTCGCACGTGCGACCCAACGACGGACGCGACGTCACGCCAGTCACTGACGACACGCCGGTTGCCTCGTCGACCATCGGAGCGCTCCAGGGCGACAAGCTCGGCGCCATCATCTTCAATGCCATCTACGACATCATGCTGGCCGAGGTGCGCGAGAAGCTCAAGGAGCTTGGCGTCTCGTCCCGCATGGCCGCCCCCACGGACGCCGTGCCCTGGCACACCAACGTCAACCCAGAAAGCGACCTGGAGGAGATCACCGTTGACCAGTCCACGTACGTCGACGATTTAGCGGAGCTCTTCGAGGCGGACACGCCGGCACAGCTCATCGACAGCCTCACGCAGGCCGTCAACGTGTTATACGAGGTGCTATCTCGCTACGGCCTCAAGATCAACTTCGGCCCGGAGAAGACGGCCATCATGCTGCGCCTCTTCGGAGTGGGCGCCCGCGCGGCATACAATCAGCTTCGAGATGAAGCAGGCGACCTAGGGCTGGACATCAACGCCGGGCGCTGCGGCAGCGTGTACCATTACAAGCACGTTGGGACGACCCTTCAGACCTCTGGGCGATCGATGCTCGACGCCCAGGCGAAGGCCACCAAGATGCAGAAGACCTACGGCCCTATGGCCCACGCCGTCTTCGGCTCCTGCCACCTCTCGAAGGCGACCCGCGCTACCCTGGCGTGCTCGCTTCTGGACTCGAAGCTCCTCTTTGGCGCAGAGCTGTGGTTGCAGGGCGACCCTGTGGCCTGACGCCGCACGCAGGCGGCCTGCATGCCGCCTCCTCCTCGACGACATCACCCTGCTGTGGGGGCACTCCGAGGAACTGCGCCATCTGCCGTCGCCGGCGGTGGCACTAGCGCAGTGGGCAATCTACATCGCAGCATCCCGCCCACGTTGGAAGAGGATTGCGAGGGCGATCGCTCTCCTCCCGAATCGCCCGGGGTCATTGCGCAGCAAGCCCCCCCACCAACGGCTGCCGAAGTCGAAGAGGCCGAAGCCCAGCGCTCGACCCTGACCCGGGCGCAACAGTTTCTCCAGTGCGACCTGTGTCACAAATGGTGAAGGGGATGGCGCGGCCTCGCAGGCCACCGGCACCGAGCCCATCGCATAGTTGCCACGGCTCGGCCATATTGCATCACGTCCACATGCCCAGCATGCGGCAGAGACTACGGATCCCGACCGCGGGCTGTCCACCACTTGCAGTGCAACTCCCAGGTTTGCCGTGAGATGATGCGCACGGGCCGGCTCCACAGATACGAGGACTCCTTGATCGAGGCCGCGGACCAAGCCGATCGACAACTGGTACGAGCCGACGTGCTGGCCGGTAGAGGGCGCCTTGTGGCTCGACAGCGGCGGCCACGAAGACCGGCCGACTCAACGCGGTGAGGCGCGCGCGGCGGCAACTGTGCCCGCCGCGCCATACATATTCTACATCCCTTTCTGTGCAACAGAGACGTGCTGCATGCAGTGCAGTTTCCGCCCGGAGCCCGTGCACAGCCAGCCTCCAGCATGAGAATTGATTATCTGGCACACCTTCAAGTAACGCCGTGGCCGCTCGCTCATCTCACCATTTGTTACACTCGTCTCCACCGCGCCGTTATCAGGACCGCACCGCACCATGTTCGCGCGCTCGCTTGCGCACACGCGCATCCATCTCCAGGAAAGCTCGCGCGGGAGCCTCGTCTGTGAATGAATCGCGGAGAAGAATCAAACGGACCCCCCCTCCTCATTGGGCCCGTAACGCATGTTACTGATATGAGCGGGTCATCGGGCCCTTGTAACCGTCGTCGCTTTGGGTTGGTCGAACTTGAATATGTTGGAAGTCTAGAGTGGGAACCGTGTTTGAAAGCCCTTTTCCCTATGGGGCACATAACTCATGATGCAAATCCGAACGGGCCAATGTGTACCTATAGATGTCGTCACTTGTTGCCTTCTCAGGCTTGAAAGCTAAAATAATATCGTACATATGTGAACGAGTGGCGAAGCAATTTCACGCGGGAGCCCCCTCCCGATGGGGCCTGCAACTCATGGTGCCAATCCGGACGGGTCATCGGGAACTTGTACGTAACTGTCGTCACGTTTGGCCTCCTTAATTAAGCTTGAGAGCGGTGGAAGTCTCAGACGGGAGTGTCGTCTGTGGGTGAACGCGGGGCAGACTCAAGCAGGAACCCTCCCCCTCATGACCCCTCATGAAGCCCGCAGCTCACGTTACTAATCCGGACGGGCCATCGGGAACCCAGAATTGTCGTCACTTCTGGACCCCCCAAGCAAGATTTCTTTATACAGCGATTTGCGAAGAGTCTCATGCGGGAGCCCCCCATTATGGATTTTGGGGTCCGCGCGGGAACTTGTAACTGTCGTCGTTGTTGACCTTATGAGGTGTCAATATGACAAATGTTTCAAACGGGAGCCCCGTCTGTGAGTGAATGCCGAAGAACCTCCGAGCGGGGGCCAAGCGGTTCTTCAGTGAAACGTATGCGAAGAAGTTGTGGGCGGAAGCATCTCCCAATGGGGCTTCTGCGGGCACAACTTTGACGCCTACGTTTCCAAGGGCTCGGCGTGGCCGAAAACACCTGTTTCGGCGAATCGGTAGCATCCCCCATGTCTTCGGCTCGGTGGAGGAAGCGGCGCGTCCTTCCGCAACGCCCACCTGGTGGTGCGTCCCTGGCGGCGGCGGGAGGTCTTGCTCATGTTCAGGCCCAGCGCGAGGAACTCTCGTGGCAGAGCTCGGGGGCGCACGTCGTGCGCAGCTCGGAGTTCGCTATGACGCACGCGTCCTCTCTGACCTCCACGCTGTCGCAGGGTCAGACGCTGCGGGCGTCGCCATCGACTGCGCCAGGGATGAAGACGCTGGTCGCGCGGGCATGTCGGACGAGCAGTGGTGGCTGCACCGCTACGTCATGCTCTCCCGCGCCACGCGCATGCGGAACATGCTTATCCTGCAGCCGCCCACGCGGAGAGCTCGTGGAACGCAGGCCGCTGGAGTCCATGGCTGAGGCGGAACAGCTCGTGGCAGAGCTGGGTTTCGCGCTGCCTCCCGCCTGAACGCGGCCGCGATTAGCTCGAGAGACCTGCGGGGTTGTCCCACCTGCGGGTTTGCCACAGCGGCTTGGCGATCTGGCCATCGGAAAACGCCCTCATGCTGGCCGTTGCGGCAACGGCAACACAAAGAACATCGACTTGCTTGCCCTTGCTAGAGGGGCGGGGAAGGAGGTGTATGGGGAAGAAGAGACAGGGGGACGAGGAGGAGGCATATCAGGGGGCTGGAAGAAGCCCTCCGCTAAGGCGAACATAACACGGGCGATGGGGAGACGGGAACAGCGCCTTTGCACTCAACAGGACGACGATCCGATCCGTTATCCTTCCAGATTCGTCTGGGAGATTATCATGCGGGGTCCTGCCGTCGGAATAAGTTGGATGCGCGGCACCAGGGAGGTCCCGACCCGCCCCTGTGGGGTAGTGTTAAGTCGGGCCTGTCCCCCTACAGGGGGAGTTTGCACAAATAGTACAAAAAATCGGGGGACGATGTTTCTATAATTTTGGATTGCTCTAGGGTGTTTTGTTGGACGATCTTGTACTTATCATCAACAATCCCCCTGTAGGAGGACACGCCCAACCTGAGGGTAGCGTGTCGACCCACATCCACGCTTGATGGCGGCCCCACGGGCCGAAACCGAGGGACGCCGCGCGAAGTGAACATAATCGTTTCGTCGGAGATCTCTCTGAGCACGACCAAGGCGCCAGGGCGCTCGCTCACCGCTCCTGCGAGCGCCCTCCTCGAGCCCGCCCCTCGGCGGGCTCGGGCTCGGGTTTGGTCGGGCATTCCCCCCTACAGGCGGATTTCGGATGGGAGAAAAATTCCAAACTATGGAACATATTCAAAAATTGCCAAAAAGAGACGAGCATCCGTCCCCGTACGATCTTTGGACTATTTTTGAATATTCCCTCTGTAGAGTGACGTGCCCGAGTCAAGGCTCGGGGGTGGGGCCTCGGCCGCTGTTCTCCGGGCTCCACTGTGCACCCACACTGCGCGCTGGCGCCCACGCTGTGCCACCCGCGCGCCGTGGAGGCCAGCCCTTTGAAAATGCGACGCCAGGCGCACCGCCACACCGTCCCGCGCCGGGCTGCGCTTCCGCTTGTAGGCAGAGCTGTAGCCGCGGGCCGCCATGGCCGGCTCGAAGTAGTCCTCGTACCGGTCCACCTGCGCGGCGGAGGGGGCGAGAAGTCGCGGGGGGGGCGCGTGCGCAGAGGGAGGACAACAGGAACTGCGTAAGCATCAACTTTCGCGGCTACGGGCGGATTTCTTGGATCCACGCTACGCTTCCCCTCCCTGGCGCGCGGAGCGCGCCAGGGACTGCACCGAACACGCCGCCAGGGGGGCCCTGCGTCCAAAAAATCCGCGCGGAGCTCCGCACAATTATGATTCGGCCGTGGTTGCACGGTTTCCCCCGGGGCGGTAGGCGACCCGAGGAGGAGGAGGAGGAGGAGGAGGCGGAGGAGGAGGAGGAGGAGGAGGTGGAGGTGGAGGAGGAGGAGGAGGAGGTGGAGGAGGAGGAGGAGGAGGGGGAGGAGGAGGACCAGCATAAACCCAAGGGTCACCAACGATGTTGGAATAACCCCTCCCCCCAAGCTCCCTCTTCATAGGCCCCTACAAGGGTTCATTTCCACAGAGGGACCTTCCTCGTTGGAAGACAACCGTTGGCAGACCCTGACGCATGCCAAAACATTGTTCTCGGGAGTCCAACGCCACGGATGAACCTGACTATTGCGTCTTGGCGATCCTGAATCGTGCCAGAACGCCATTCTTCCGACTTCAACCTTGCGAATCGTCGTAACTGTTGCGCCCTCATAATCGTGAACCCTTCCAAAACACCATTTCTGGTACGTCGAGCGTGGGAACCTGTGAAAACCTTGCACATGTTTAACAATAATGTGCGCGGCGCAAAGGCGAGAGCCACATTTTGAAAAGAACCGCCCTCAAAATGTAAAGCTCTTGCATAATTTCGAAAACGAATGTTCGCGGCGCTAAGGCGAGCCACATATTGAAAACGACCCGACCTCAATCCGTGAAACTCTTGCAAAGTTTGAACACGAATGTGCGCGGCGCTAAAGCGAGAACCACATTTGGAAAACCACCCGCCCTCGATCCGTGAAGCTCTTGCACATTTTGAAAACGAATGTGCGCGGCGCTAAGGCGAGAGCCACATTTTGAAATCCACCCGCCCTCCATCTGTGAAGCTGTTGCCAATGTTTAGGCTTCAGGGTCGTAAATGATGAGGAAGTCTCAGGCGAAACGCCCAGCCCGCCCTAAACACTGGCCTCGGGGTGCGACAAGGCGAAATTAATTATAAGGAAAAGGAATGGAGGCGGAGGAGGAGGAGGAAGAGGCGGAAGAGGAGGAGGAGGAGGAGGAGGAGACGGAGTAGGAGGGGGGGAAGGAGGGGTAGGAGATGGAGGAGGAGGAGGAGGAGGAGGAGGAGGAGGAGGAGGAAGAGGAGGAGGAGAGGGGGAGGACGGGTCGCCTAAGCCCTTCGGAGAAACCCTCCACCCGGGCGCTTGCAGGATCGAGCGGCACCGCATGCAGGTGATGGGGGCCGCCGTTCGAGAGCCCCCGAGACCAGACCTGGCGGCCCCACCCTGGGGAGGGAGCCGGGAGGCGGCGGCGGACGTTGGCATGGACGCTGGGGCGTGTTCTCGTCTGGCCTCAGGCGGCACGTCGAGCTGAGATTGCTGGAAAACCAGATTTTGGCACAACCAGGAAAAGGATGTAAGTGAGATGCCAGGGAACTGGAAGGAGAGATGTGGTTAGTGCGGCTGGGTCAACCCCGCCATGCCAGGCACGCCCGCATGCAGAGTTTGTCAAACTGATACAATAGGGAACGCCTGCTGAGAAACTATGCTCCGATTAGGAACAAACATGCATGGGGTGCACTAGGAGCATGAAAGGAGCAACTGTCGAAGGACCCGAGGATCAGCGAGCCCCTTCCGAACACGAACGGCTCCTTATCTCAGCGCTTTGACTGAACAACTCGTGCACACGATGCGAAATATACGCATCAGGAATGTAGGGGCACATCCGTCGTCCACCTTCGCCTCCCCACGGTGTCCCACTTGTTTTGCGGGCCTCTGGGGCGTCTAGGGGATAAATCGTGTCCGTGGGGTACCTGCTGGGAGGCTGGTTTCTTCTTCTTATGATTCTTCTTTTTCTTCTTCTTATTATTATTCTTCTTATTCTCATTAGTACTGGTATTATGTTTATTATCTTTATTATTATTCTTCTTCTTCTTCTCCTTCGGCGCGCCTACGATGCGTTTTTTTGGTTCTTGCAATAAGCGGCCCCGAAGTGCCCCCCGAAAGCTAACTTGGACGAACAACCAATCCCTGGGAAAGGGGTCTGGACCTCTCGGGGCCAACGTCATGGAAAAAACGTCGGGGGTCTCGGGAGGTGGTGCAAAGGTGGTCCGCAAGGGGCGCGGCTGCACCGTGGCGGCTGCCTTCGACGCATCCTCTCCATCCTCTTGCCACGAAGTGACAGAAACAACGTGGAGGCTGCGGAGGAGGGAGGGCGAGGGGGGGGGGGGCGAGAGGACGGGGGAATGGGAGAGCGAGGCTCTGGTAGGAGGGGGGCCAGGGGGTAGGAGGGAGACAGGAAAGGGGGAGGGCGTTCGGAACGGGCAGGAAAAAAGGGGAACAGTCGGAATCGAGGTCGAAGGGGGCGGATAGGTAGGAGTGGGCGAGGGAGGTGGAGACGTCTCAAAGGAGGGCCCGTGAAACACTCGGCGGAAACACGGGGAGGCCAACCATGAAAGCTGAACGGAATGGTTGCGGCCCGTGCGTCCGCCGTCGTTGCCCGAAACGCAGATCTGCAACAAGGGTGTTCCTCTTATCGCGTTCTGGTTTTCGGAGCCAGCGCGTCTGAAGAACAAGCGCAGATACAACGACGAACACTTCTGATTGAATGGGAAGGAGGAGGCAGTGGGTGAGGATAGTGAGGAGGACGAGGAAGAGGAGAAGGAGGAGGAGGAGGAGGGAAGAGGAGGAGGAGGAGGAGAAGGAGGAGGAGGAGGAGGAGGAGGAGGAGGAGGAGGAGAAGGGGGAGGGGGGATCCGAGGAGGAGGATTCTTCGATGGAGAAGCACGAGAGTGCAGAGGCGAGTAAAGGCCAACTTGTCTTACGGCAGCGCAAGCGGGAGCAGTGGCGGCATGGCCGAGCCGAGGAAAAGGAGGAGGAAGAGGAGGAGGAGGAGGAGGAGGAGGAGCAAACGACACGCTGGGGGGAGCGCACGTCTGTCGATCAGCGACGCTGCGGCCCCGCACCGCCCACGAGGCAACGAGGCAGCCTCAAGGCTCGGCGGGCGGCGGCAGCGGCGGCCTGGTGGATCCCGTAAGGGGTTGTTCGGGTGGGGCGGGGCGACGGCGCTGATTGGTAAACTTGATATCGCTCCCTGACCTTCAGCGCCATCAGGCTCGCGGCTGCGAGCGAGTGGTACACGTGGAATCGCTCCCTGACCTTCAATCGCAGCCGTTGGATGGTCGGCCTCGCGCCTGGCGCGCAGGATGTTGCACGTGCGGCAGGACACCGAGAGGCGTGCGATGACATGGCGAGGACGGTCGCCCTCGGTCGCGGGGCTCGCCAGGCCAACGCGTGAGAGGAAGTCCGATGAGAGCTGGCCGCGCGGCATGGCGACGATCGCCCACAGGTGCGGGCAGGTCACGCAGTGGCTGATGTCGTCCACGTTCCTGGGGTCATCGCGCGGGTCGCACCCGAACAAGCGCGGCTTCTTGGGCGGGTTCACGCGCAAACGGTATGATGTAGTCCAGGCGCCCGTCAGCGTCTTGACCGCGGGCTCAGACGAAGAAGGCGAGCTCGCAAGGCGGTTCTTCAGCATGCGCCACTCGGTGGCGATGGAGGCGGGGATGGACGTCCCCCCAGGTAGCCCATCACGAGAGGAAGCGTCGCCGTCCCCGAGGATGTCCATCTGGCGCCAGCTCGTGCTTGTCGTGGTAGATGTCGTCGAGGTCGCGTGGTCGCCAGCCGGGGCCAGGCGCGGGTCGCTGCGGGCCTCGTGCTCGATCCAGCGGCGGCGAGCTCGATGTTCAGCAGCTTCCTCGGCAAGTTCACGCTGAACGATGGTTGTCTGTCGCTCGGCATTGTAGGCCTCCAGGCGTCGAGAATGAGGTCGATCACTGCGCTGCCAAACCGTCGCGCAGATCTCAAAAGCCCTGTCGCGGCGGGCCGTGTCGGAGCCGAAAGCGTCGCCAAGGCTGAAATGCGCATCGAACTGCGGTCACTGCAGCACGGAGGTCACGTACGAGACGCACCAGTCCATTCAGTCCCTGTGGTCGTCGATGTCGTTGCCAAAGAACACGCTGGGGACCTGGCGCTCGGCCCAAGCTTCAGCGCGCTCGTGCAGGCACTTCGTGGAGTCGTGGGGGGCGGCGCCAGCTGGCGGCTGCAGTGCGTCTGGAGTCACCGCCACGAAGGTGCCGATTGGCACATTTGGGATCGCCCCCTGACCTTCAACACCTTCGGTCGGATGGCCGCGACCAGCGGGGGGCAGAAGGAACCGAGCTTGAAGGCGTCGAAGGACAGTCTTGTGGAAGACGTCGTGGTGCAGCAGGCGTTGGATCTCACGTGAGAAGGTCCGTTGTGGCTAGGTGCCGGGAGCAGCCCGTGTCGCGGTGGAGTCAGACTCTTGCGCCCTGCCACGGTGCCTGGCATGGTTCGGGCCAGCCCTGTCACCACTGGCAGCAGCAATCGCTTGTTGCCCAGCTAGCGCGGCAAGCCGGTGAGCACGACTGAGCGTGGAGGCGGCGCATGACGTCGATCTAGTCGAACGGGCGATGGCCTTGAAGATCGAGCCTTTGCCAGTCGGGAACAACTGGTGGTTGGTGGCGGCGTCGAGGCGCCGTGCAATCGGGGTCTCGTCAACCCAACAGTCAGCAGACCAATGGCTTCTCATCGCTCGGCATATCGGCAGCCTTTCGTCGGCGAGATCATGATGGTCACGTAGTGGGGGGTGCCAGCCTGTGATGGTAGTGGCGGCAGCGCGCCACGTAGTAGCAGCAAGAAATGTCTCTAGGCCCTGCGGCATCGTGGTGGAGGCCCACTGGGAGAACGACTGGATGTCAATCTTCGTGAAGCGCGAGGGCGCTGCTCGGACCAGCCTTTGCAAGCCGTGGATCTCCTTGGCCAAGAAGG